GCACTGGACTTACAGTTGCATCTTCAGGTTCAAACACACCATAATTAAGATTGCCTTAATTATTCAATTTATTGTTTGTAGGCAGTACAGAGGCCCACTTAAGTTGATATCTATTTTTCAGGTTTTTTAAAAATAAATAGGAATTGTGTTTATGTCGTACTTCTTTCCAGAATGGATAACCAGTCTTGCCAGCACATCCTTATCTCATTTTTTGATTGATTGAACGGGTTCTTAACTGATTGTGGAAATGCTGTGGGAGGAATATGCCTGGTTCCAGCAGAGGAGTCCCCTCAGTCCCTCGTGGCAATGCCAGTCCAGTTGGGGCGGGATGGCATGAGCTAAAGGAGGCTCAAAGGCTGGTCCAGAAATTGTCCCCAAATCCTGCTTTTCAGTCATTCCTTATTGTAGGAGTGAGAATCGGGTGGAAAAGCTAAAGATTCGGTTCTTACTTTTCTTAGGACAAGGGTGTCCAAACTTGGGAACTTTAAGACTTGTGGACTTCAACTCCCAGAATTCCCCAGACAGCGGAACTCTGGGAGTTGAAGTCCAAAAGTCTTAAAGTTCCCAAGTTTGGACCTCCCCTGCCTTAGGACTTCAGTGAGGAGTGGGAAGCATGCTTCTCCAATTCAGACGAATCGGTTCAGATTGAGGAGGGAAAAAAAACCAATTCAGAATGTTCTCAAGAGGTCAAAGCATCGGGCTCCAAATTCATGGCTGCCTGTTGTGCAAAGATCTTCCACTTACGAAGCAGAAGTGAAACGCCGAGTATTGAACGGAGGATTTAGTTGTGCAAAAAGTCTCAGCGCTGATTAGACACTGAATGTAAGTCAGAGGTCTGGTGGCATGAACAGGCAAGGGAATTTTGCATTGGTTTCCTCTATTGCTCTACAGTTGTGGGGTTCAACATGGAGGAGCACCCCCTTTTAGGAAGGAGGTATAGAGAAACTGGAAGGGATCCCCAGATGGACAAGGAGGAAGATCCGGAGAACATCCCCACCCAGAGAGAAGAGACAGCCGTGGAAATGACTGGGTGGCACAGGACTCATGAAAGGAAGACAGAGTATCTTCAACCCACTTTGGGAGGGCAGGACCTGCCCACCTTCCTCACACGGAGACCCCTTCGACGGGGGAATCGGCGGCCCAGAGAGTGGTGGGCTGCCTTGCAAGCGGAGGCCAGGCAGCCATCTCTCTCCATACATGTGGGATGAGCCAGCGCCCATGGGGGTCGGTCCAGGGTGCTGCCTGGTCACAGCCTCGCCTGGGAAGTGACCAGGGCAAGGTGGTGGCGAGCTGCAGGTGGCTTTGGAGGCTTTGCCAAGAGGAAGCTGGGCTTGGCGGGTGCAACAAAGGGGCTGAGCGGGTTCTTCCAGCGGCTGGCAGACGTCAGCCGGCCCCACCCTTCCCTCGCAAGGAGAGCTCTCCGCGTCCCCCTTTCCTGGTTCTGCTTTGTGTTTAAATAAGAAAAGAAATGGTGAAGTTGCTAATAATGGCTCTAAGAGAAAATATGCTACATCTGCTATGGATAGCAGTACAAAATTAGCTACTCACACCTCTGACACCCAAGATGTCTTCACTTAAAATACCCGGCGGCTTCCTTTACATAACTTGCTGATGATATTTAAAAGAAATACAATTTTGCAATTACTTCTTCTTTCTGGTGTATATCATTTTCTTTTTATGTTTATATATTTCTGCTTCATTAGTGCAGACTGAAGGGTGATTAGATCCCTTCAAACATTTTAGAGAGGTTAAACGTTGATTAAGATTTAATTATTACTGTAAATAGCTTGGAATGACATATGGTGCAAAAACCTGGCATATGTGCATTTGAATAAATGAAGTGCTATTTCCCAGGATGCACCAGGAACTGTTTAACAGCTTTGGTGAAGGGTTATGTTGCACCTCATGTTAAGATTTCTTGGATGTTATATTTTGTTGGGTTTCTGCAGCTGAAAGCTAAGAACAGTTTTTTCCAGTTTTTAAAAACATTGAATATTTTAAATACCTAAATTGTTTTGCACAATTTTTTGCTAATTTGTCTAACTAGGTTAAACATTTTCAGAAGCTTTTAGGTTTCCCGTGTAGGTTCCTAGCATTGTTGTGTCAGCCTTGGCACTGCCACCCGCAGATACCAGGGGAAAGATATAAAATAATGATGATTTTGGAGGAGCCTCCGAAGGAAAGTCCTTCTGCCCCTCCCAGGGCGCGGAGGGGGGGAGGGCTTCAGGCCCTTGTGCCCCCTTGGGCGGCTCCAGAGCCTGCGGGACAAGAACAAGGGTTCAGTCCTGGGGGGGGGGAGCATTTGTTTTATTTACTTCTTCAGCTTAAATAGCTGCTCATCTTGCAGGAATCCTAAGAGCAACCTGTATCCAAGGCCAAGAGAACCGGCTGGCAGGGGAGGCACCACTGGGACCCCTCCCAGAGATGGTTTCCCTCAACCCTGGGCGGGCACCATGTCTTCAGAGGCTTAAAAAAGCCGGGGGGGGGGGCTGAGGGGTGTGTGTGAAAAGAGACATTCTACTTCCTTAAGTCTTGCATTTCGTCCTTTAAAAATCCTCCCTGTTGGACCCACCGGGGGTCTTGGAGCTGACTAAAAGGGGGTTCAGTTTACTGCCCGTGATGGAGGCCTGGGGCATTTGTGCAAGGCCTCTGGAAGCAGGGAAGGACATGTGGAGGGAAGCTAAACCCCATGGGGCTTGGCACGCAGGGGGGGAAGGGGGCAGCACCTACCTTTGCTCCGCTTAGAGGCGGCTTGCAAGGAACGTCCAGGGTGGGAGGTTGTGTCCCTGAGAACATACCGGTACATGCGTGTGAGAAGGAAGGGCAGGCTTCTGCCAGGCATGGGGTCCGTAAGGGTGAAGGGGCCGACCTTATTTAGGGTAGGGCTGGCCCCAGCAGGGTGGTGGTGATGGGGCCCCCCCTTCCAGGACAAGAGATGGGCCTCCTTGCACCCTGCCTCTCCTGGGGTCCCCAAGGGAAGGCGGCCAGAGGGAGCCCCGTCTGGAGGCCGTAGCAGAGCCCTTGGGGCCCAATCGTGGCTCGTAGGACGGGAGGGGCCAGTCTCTGCATCCTGGGTCCCTCCCACCCACAGTCCATCCTCCCCATCCCCCCCCCGCCCTCCTTCGCTCTCAGCCTCCCCGCTCCGGATGCCTCCTTCTGCCTGCCTTTCCTCTGGGCTCAGCACGGCAGCTGTGCTGTTGTGATTCTTCCAGATGATTCTTCCCACTTTCTCTGCTTCCACCTGTCCCTCCAAGAGACAGCCAGCCAAAGGCAGCCGCTGAAATTGGGGTGTGTGTGTGTGTGTGTGCTGAACCTGCCATCCCTGATGCCTGGCAAGACTCTGTGTGTGTGTGTGTGTGTGTGT